ATTCCAGAGCCCCAGTTAGATGCCATTGCTGCTCTTTGGAACTTTAGAACATTTTCTTACCTCCCTTAAGTCTTATTTTCATTTGTTTGTATAATACCCCAGTAGATTCTAGTCCCTTAGGGAGGAATAACAGAGTCAGCTGAGTGTTTTTCACATGCCTGGTAATTCTCTGCTTGTTTTTTTACTGTCATTTTTCTTATGTTCCTGTATAGTGTTTGAATAGTGTGTTGACAGTGTCAGATCTTCATATTTGTTGTATAGAAGAAAGTGTATTCTAGACTTGGAGAAGAGTTTAGGCAGAGTTGGGGGCTAGAGCTGGATGCAGAATATGGGGGAATTGTCACAGACATTGGCCCAACCATGGCAGAGCTTCTCCTGGGAGCAACAAGAAGGGTCATACTGCATAATTCCAAAGGGCACTGTCATGGTAAAATTGTATTTAAAATGATACTCCTGAAGGAATGATAAGGTGGAACCTTGTCTGGTAACTCAAGATCATCAGTGCTTGTGTATCCTTTAAGAGATTTTCTATGTGTGCCTTCAAATGAGACAATACTGTACATGAATTAATAGCTTAGTCATTACCTTACTGCAAAAGGTTTAAGTTGCTTATTGTCTTTTGTAGTAACACGCAGTACTGGAGTGAGTATTTTTACCATGGTTTTAAAGCTTATGCATGAACATAAAAGCTTGCAGTGAATATGTTCTTTATCTCTCACCTTTCCTGAGGTCTATAATTTGGATTCAATTTATTTTTTACCTCTAGGTTTCCCAATAACATTTATATTCCCCTTTCTAGGTTGTTTTCTAGCTTAGATACTATTTCTTTTCTTCTAACTTTTAAAGCTGAATTTTCTTATTCTGTATTAACCTTGCACTGTAGAAGGTGACTGGGTATAGCATTCAAAGTCCAAAGTAATTTCCCATTATTAATTAAGTCTTCACTCCCCTAGTCTTTCAAATCTCTTACAACCTTTGAAAAGTCCTATGTGCTGATTTCTTTTTAAACAGTATGTATGGCATTTTAATTGGATTTCTTTTTCATATTTTGAAATTTTCAAATAGTTTCATCCTGAGGCCTTTAAGGTAGCAAAGACATTTTACTTTTTCAATGTTTATCTTTAGTTTTGAGGATTTCATACATATATGCAATGAAATACGATCATAGTTATCCCCTATTTTCCCCCTCCAGTTCTTCCTACACTCTCCCAACCTATCCTGCTTCCAACATCATCTCTTTAGATTTTTTTTCTTTCAGCCTATTAATTTCCATTAGTGCTGCCCTTATATGCATGAGTGTGGGGCTATCCACTGGAGCATGGGAAACCTACCAGTGGCCACACCCTCAACTGATTCTCCTCTCCCTTGGCAAGTCTCTGTATCTCGTTAGTAAGGCTCTATTGTTTCTTTATCTCTGAAAGCTTACCTATGTAATATTTGATGTTTTTAAGTTTCATTATTTACAAGTATCATTTTCAACAGAAATTCCTGGAACTTTAATAATTGAGTTAAAGTTGGATATATTTAAGATTTTGGTTAGTATCTCTTAGTTATAAGGTAAAATTCTTTCATTCTTGGTATCTTCTTAAACAAAGGTTTGACTTTGACATAGTTAAACTCTACTTCTGCAGTGTCTGCCTTATATCCTCCCTTGAAGTTGGCCTTGCCTTCTTTCCATTTGGCCATCACATTTCCCTTACTGTTCTTTTCCCCAGAACCCATACAGAACTCATTCACATTTCTCATATCTTGTCTCATTTGTTTAAAGCCTCATAATGGTCTATCCTACTAATTAGAATAGTTCTACTGGTCTATTCATATATATGCCACTGCTAATTACATGATAATATACCATTGTTAGGGCGAAGGGTAAAAACTATAGAAAAGGTTCAGAGTTACTTTAGGAAGGAAATAGGAGGCTTAGAAACAGAATGCAGACATTGAGTTTAATAGTACCAGAGAAAGCCAGGAGTATGTGGACTGATTGCATGGTGGAGATCTGCTGACATGGAGGGTAGGAAGTGAAACAGCCAAGGCCGTGCTAAAGTAGGCAGGGAGAGGTGCTGTAAGAAAATGAAGACTCAGTGGAAGGAGAGGCTTCAGAAAGAAGAGGTTAGTGTAACTTCACAGGGAAGTCAAGGAGGAGAAAGAACCCAAGGCTAAAATGGTTAGGATGGACTCACTGGTAGAGCATTTAGTTCAGTTGGGGGACATGGTAGAATGGGTGGTGGGGACCAAATACAGATATTTTTAGGTTGAAGGGGAGGTTACCTGTGTTAAGTTTTCTATTGCTGTGAAGAGACATCATGACCACCACTACTCTTATAAAGGAAAACATTTAGTCGGGGTGGCTTATAGTTTCAGAGGTTTAGCCCATCATCATCATGGCAGGACAAGGCAGTGTGCAGGCAGACTTGCTGCTGGAGAAGGAATTGAGAGTTGTACATCTTGATCTGTAGGTAGTAGGATGTGAACTGTGTTACTGGGTGTAGCTTGAGCATAGGAGACCTCAAAACCTACCCCCACAGTGACACACTTTCTTCAACAAGGTCATATCTACTCCAACAAAGCCACACCTTCTAATAGTGCCACTTCCTATGGGGACCATTTTCTTTAAAACCATCACATTGCCTGTGTACGCTTATATGTGAGTGAAAGAAAGGTGATTGATTCTAACAGTGATGGCCACAACCTTTAAACAGGGAAGGTATTGGAGCTTGAGAACAGCCCATTGCAGGAATGATGAGTACCTGAGGAAGAGTTTCTCCTCTGAGAGGAGAGGAGCAGGTGAGGTTATGGGACAGGTAGCAGGGGTCCAGATGGTCACAGGTTCACACTGTGTGAGGTACTTAGGAGCTGTGGTAGCTTTGAATAACCATGTAGTCATTGCTTAGCTTTTTACTTAGTGATCATCTCATCATTGTCAAGGTACAAAGGTGAAGAAATACTGCTTTTTAAAAACATAGTTTTTTTTATTTCTCTCTCTTATTTTGATTAGAGTCTCATTTTTTTAGGCCAAGAAGCCAGGGAACTCGTTATGTAGTGTAAACTGTCCTTAAACCTAGGATCCTCCTACATCTGCTTTCTGAGTGTAGGAGAATTAGGTGTTAACTACCTCATCAACCACTCTTCTATTTTTTTTTTCTTTTGATTTTGAATCAGGGTTTCTCTGTGTTTCTTTAGCTGCCATGGGACTCCCTCTGTAGACCAGGCTGGCCTCAACTCACAGAGATGTGTTTGCCTCTACCTCCTGAGTACTGGGATTAAAAGAGTGTGCCACCACCCTGGCTTCCTTCTGATATCCAGAGCCTGAAACGCAAGGAACACTGAGGGCTGTCTAGCATTATGAACTTGCATTCACAAGTCAGTAGTAAAAGTGGCTCTGAGTAGTTAAACCTTGCGGTCTGGGCTGAATACAGAATCCAGTGAACCAAAAGGATGGTCAGTATTCACTGTACAGAGCAGTTGGCTTTGCTTAGGATACACAGATACAAGATACACAGACAAGGAGTAGGAATTCCATGTTGTGTGTGTGTGGGGGGGAACAAGTAGAATTTAGCCCTTAATTATGAAAGAGTTGGTTAGGTTTCATAATTCATATAATAAAACTTAAAGGAGCCACACAAATACTGGTTATAATCATTGTATTGTTAGAGTTGCCAAACTCATATTTTGTCAGTTCTATGTAGTGTGATGGAAAAATGAGGTTTTGTGAGTTTTTGAAAATAATAGTTTTATAATGTCAGCAAGCAGCATTTTTAGTAACTTGAGAGTATTGGCTGTGTACTTTCTTCTTAGCCCCTTCCCAAAAGCTCCATTTCACCTTAGTGTTCATATCTATTAAATGTGCAATGTGAAATGTTTGATGTTTCCAGAAATGCAGAGAAATGTGTTTTACTGATAGGTAATTTGTGTTTAGAGATAACTGGATAATAATGGTGTAAACACCTAAAGGTCTGGCGTTGGTATAATAAGCCAAGTGCAGGAAGTGATCATCCTTTAAGGGCTTTACTTGTGTGCTGTGCTCTTGATGTATTTATTACCCCGCTGAGTGTCAGGGCTTCGCGTCTGTGTATTAGGAAGAGCCCGTCCTTTCCTATGACTTCAGAGGCAGCAGGAATCCTGATGGACAGCACTAGGGAGGTTTTGCTTCTGCCTCTCTTCTCTCGATGTATTGAATCTCCTGAAGACTGCCAGCTCGCTTTGCGTCTGGAATTGTTTAAACAATCAACTAGCTGTGAACTGAAAGAATATTTGGTCAAAATTTCTATAAAAGTAGATGACTCCTTAATAGCAGACTATTAGGTTTTTGTTTGTTTGTTGTTTTTAAATGGGAAGCACTGCATTATTATGGTCAAGGTGTTCCAATGTCCTAGTTTTCTGGGACAGTTCTAGGTTTTATCCCTATCCAGTTAAGAACCCCTCTCCACTCTGAGAAATGTCTCATTGGATGGCAGGCCCCATTTTAGATTTATAGGTTTCACTTCAAGGTAGTCAGGGAAGATGTACCTTAGCTGTTGAAAGAAGAAGTTGGGAGGTGCTTCAACACTGGTCCCTTTTCCTAACCTCTCAACAGATACATTATAAAAAGTACTAAAATTAGGTGGGCGGTGGTGGTACATGCCTTTAATTCCAGGACTCAGGGACAGAGGCAGGCGGATCTCTGTGATTTCGAGGCCAGCCTGGTGTACAAGAGCTAGTTTGCAGAATAGGCTCCAAAGCTACAGAGAAACCTTGTCTCAAACAAAACAAAACAACACAAAACAAAACAAAAAACAAACAAAAAGTACTAAAATTCATCATGATAATTGCTATTTGAGTACAAGAAGTATGTCCATGGGGTATTTAGCCAGCAGAATTAAAGCCTTTGCAATAAATGTTTCCTTAATATTTTCTGCTTTAATGAAGAGAGAAAGAAGATTGTGTTAGGTCTTAGGTGTGTAACTTATTGGGCAGGAAATGCTTATGTAACAATGATGTATCTTCCTTTCTTCATTCAGCGCTAATATTCTGAAGGAACCCGTGTGCTTAGGAGGATGTGAGCACATTTTCTGTAGGTAAGTAGTTAGAGCCTGATGTGCCCTGGTGGAATCATTTTTGTTTTGTTGTTTTGGTTTTTCGAGACAGGGTTTCTCTGTAGTTTTGGAGCCTGTCCTGGAACTAGCTCTTGTAGACCAGGCTGGCCTCGAACTCACAGAGATCCGCCTGCCTCTGCCTCCTGAGGAGTGCTGGGATTAAAGGCCTGTGCCAACACCACCCTGCTGCAATGATGGAATTATGATGCCTGTCTTGATGTGCACTTTGATGTAATTGTGATGTCTCTATGTTATCTTTAGAACTGTTTTATTTATAACTAAGAAATAAAGCTCAGAGTGGCGTGTCCAGAGTTCCAGAGGAAATGCAGCAATGCCTTCGATGTAATTCTAAAATTCTGATATGTCCTTGAATATTCCAGTTTTTAATGACTGAGACAATAGTCTTTCAAAATTTATTGAAGTCTAGTTCTTAAATTTCCAAGGTCGGGTGACTTAAAACAGTAAACATTTATTGTTGTAGATCAGAAAGTCAAATTCTGATATATGTTGGTAGAATTTGTTCCCTCTGAAGGCTGTGCGGGAGACTGTTTTTGCCGGGTTTCTTGTGGGTTGTTAATGAGGTTTTCCCTTGCTGTGACAGAATAGCTGACTTCAGCAGTTGACGGGTGTCTATTGGTCAGCCTCTTTGTCACCGTGCCATAAGTTATCTGAGGAAAGGTTTCTTTGAGCTAGGGTCTCAGGATTCAGGTACAGTGCTTAGTGCTTGGCTTTGGTGAATTTGGTGCTTAAACACCAGTTTTGCTTCTTGGGGTTAGTATAATAAGCCAAGTGCTTGGTATGTTTATCCTTCAAAGGTTTTCTGAGGAAAAACCTCATGAAAAAGAGCAGCGTGGTGGTAGGAGCATATGGAGGTAGATGGTCTGTCATGGTGGCCAGGAAACAGGAAGGATTGAGGATTTAACACTAGGTATAATCTGCAGTGACGTCTATAGTGATAGCTTGTTAAAGTTTCATCTACCTCCCCAAATAGTGCTACATGGTTGGGGACCAAGCATTCAACTGTGAGTCTGTCAGAGGAGCTTGTTATGTGTAAGTCATAGTCTCTAAGCACACATTGGAGATTCACACATACATAACAGGGGAGAAGATTTATATTGGTTAGACGTTTCTGGTCCATAGTCCTTTATATTGAGACTATTTGTTCACATCTCTATAGCTTTACCCTTAGCAGCCATAGACTTGTTTGCTGGGAAAAATTAGACAGATTGTCATGCTAAATAATGTCTCATCATAGTAAAGTGATCAGACTTTACATATATGTGCATGCCCTATTCTTCAAGCACACTGCTTTACCATACTATGGGAAACAACCGCTGTTTTCTTTATGTTTATATGCTCTAGTGTTTGGAGTTCAGATTCTCCTGATTTTTCTTTTAATTTTTTAAGTGTTTGTATAAGTGACTGTGTTGGATCAGGATGTCCAGTATGTTACACCCCAGCCTGGATCCTAGACCTCAGGATAAACAGACAATTGGACAGCATGATCCAGCTTTATAGTAAGCTTCGAAATTTGCTACATGATGATAAACGTTCAGGTGAGTAACATGCTGTCATTGTTTTGTTAAATGGTGGACAAATTAGTAATGGTAACGACTACATGAAGGAAGAATGGGTAAAGAGTTCTGAATGGTGTAGCTCAGATCGTAAGAGTAGTAGGGTTTTTTTTTAAGTTATTTTGAGAAATGAGATAATTAAGTCTCAGCTTTATAGATGAGGTGCCAAGGTCCAGAGAAGTTAAATGCTCTTGCCTACAGTCACATGTATAGTTAATATAGGAAGCAAGAGAAATAGTACTCATTTCTTGGTGTCAGTCCAGAGGGTCTCACTTCACACTGACTGCTTTCTGCAGTTAGGATAATTTCTGTAGATTATATATGCTATTGTGACTTTATTTATAATAGTGCTTAATTCACTTAAGTACCCTGTTATAAGATAGAATACAATATTCTTGCAAGGATCACTTTTCTAGACTGAATTAATTATGTATACATTTTGAAAGAACAAAAATCTTAACACTCATTTCCTTTTCTATTTAAATGGGGGTTAATGTTTTTCAAATTGTTCTTAGACTCTGTGTATTAACTATATGTCTTCCCATTGTGCCTTCTGCTGAGAACTAATTGGCTGTGAAAAGAAACTAAAGTGTTTTGAATTTTTATAATTGGATGTTGGAGTTGTATTTTCATTGACCAAAGCATATCATTTTAGCATGTATTTATAGGAGACCCTGTCTGGCAGGATGCCATGAAAGAATGATAATGGTAATATGAAATTGTTGGCTTTTTCTGTTTTTAAGTTCTTTGTTCTCTGGATTCTGATATGTTAGTATGTTAACTCCTAGTAAAGTTGATTAGACAAAATTAAACAAGTCAAATGATTTTAAGTATTGTTGACAACAGGTCTGTGTTTTTAAGAATGTAAGTCATAAATGTAAACCCGTCTTTACATTTAGTTATTTGGTCATTGTATTAGACTATTTTTTAATGATGAAATGTGTTATAGTAGCACTATGAGTTAATGGTATCCATGTCTGTACATATATTTTGTAAAGTACTTGCTTTAAAAAGCATTGAGGTTATAAATCTCTTAATGCATTGATGTCAGGGCTGACTACTCTGTATTGGATAACCACTTGGGGGGCATTTCTCTAGCTCCCAGCATTCATTATTCTGTAGTTCTTTGTTTAGGTTTGAGGCTTCATGAGGTTTTTCTCTTTTGTGCTAGCATGTCTATTGGTGTCATTGGTTCTGGTCTTGTTTGGGCAGCATGTATGTTTATGTAATTATATGAATAACAGCTGTGTGTGTGTGTGTGTAAAAACAGAAAAAGAGGCCACGAATTTGAGAGAAAGCAAGGAGGGAGGATAATTAGGAGGGATTGAAGGGAGGAAAGGAAAATGATATAATTATAATTTCAAAAAATATAAAAGAAAAACAAGATTATAAAAAGGACTGTATTGAAGCCGGGCGGTGGTGGCGCACGCCTTTAATCCCAGCACTCGGGAGGCAGAGGCAGGCGGATCTCTGTGAGTTCGAGATCAGCCTGGTCTACAAGAGCTAGTTCCAGGACAGGCTCCAAAACCACAGAGAAACCCTGTCTCGAAAAACCAAAAAAAAAAAAAAAAACAAAAAACAAAAAAAAAAAAAAGGACTGTATTGAGTGGGACTAGAGAGATGGTTCAGCAGTTAAGAGCACATATTACTCTTGCAGCGGTTCTGAGTTCAGTTCTAGTACTCAGGCCAGACAGTTGTTGCTTTCTATACCTCCATCTCCAGAGGATCTGACTCCTGGCTTCTGTGGGCACCTGTATTCATGCACATATACATGTTGATACAATTAAATCCTAAAAAAAGAAAAAGATTGCATTGAGAAAAGAATTGCCATCTGAATGCTTTTCTTCCTCAGAACAGTATGTGATGGTATGTATTTGGTAGTTGAAACGATTGTGTGTATGATCTAATTGACCTCTGTCTTCCCCTCATATGTACTTTAAATTGGTGTAATGATTTCCAGTAATAGTCCATGTGTCTTTGGCCGTGTCAGAGTAGGGAATGGAGAAGAATCAATGAGTCATTACTTGGATAGTATGAACAATATATATGTCTCTGAGCGTTGCTTTCATTAGATTCTTATGGGTATGTCTTATGGGTATGTCTAAACAAAGATTATTGGCCAAGCCCTGAAATGGTGGGTTCTAATTTGAGATTGTCATATTTTAACTTGACTCTTCTCTAATTATTGTATATAATAAATAGTGTTTTAAGTTATAGCAGATGCTGTAACAGTGAGTGACAAACCAGATGGCTGAAGTAAAAGAAACTGTCTCAGTTCTGGAGGCTTGAAGTTTAGTTTCAGAAATGTCCTTTCTCTCTGAGATCCATAGCTTGTGCTCATGTTACCTCATGTCCTCATATTGCATTAGGGTATCCACGCCAGAGCAGCTTCCTCTTGGGTGAGTCTGTCCAATATAGACTTTAATTAAGATTTCATTTTGGGTACCCCGTATTAGTTATAGTTTCTGCATATGGACTTAGAGAGTAGAAGGAAGTTCACAGTTTAATGCTTAAGTAAATAATTTGCTATTTTTAATGGTGATTAAATGGGAGGAGGCTGGTCTGGTCTTTGTAAGCTGATTGCACTCTCAGTGGCTCACTGTGTTAGGTACCTTTGGGTACACAAAGAAATACGGTTCCTAGAGATTTATTGTGCTGAAGAGTGTTTGAATCATAGTATAGTTTTTGTTTTTGTGGACAGTGGAAAATTGGAGTTTTGAACAATGTTCAGGGTGGGACCTGACCCCTTTTAAAATATGTTCTTACTGTTTTCCTATTTTGAACATTTGTTTCTTTGGTAGGTATTTGCTAAATTTGTTGAACTATGTTGAATAGAAATCAACAGTGTGGGGCTAGAGTTCAGATCTCCAGCACCCACACTGCAAGCTAAACATTCTGTAAATACCTGTGACTCCAGCTCCGAGAGATCTAACAGCCTCCTCTGGCCTTCCTGCATGCACAGGCTCGAGCGTGCACACACATGTAAAGTAACCTTTAGAAGAAAACAAAACTTACAGTGTGCCTTTGCTACTTTGATGGAAATCACAGAAATGTAGCGAAGTTTATTGAATATACCTTTGTTTTTGTAGTACAATTTTTCCCCCCTATTTTAAGTTGTATCACTTTCAACTTTTCTCTAAGTCTTCTCAAAACAAGCCAGCTCTGAGGGGCAATTCAGTTTTAAGTCCCTTCTCTAGTAGCTCCCTTTGTTTCTTTATAGTTGATTTAGCATATGTATTGAGGTTCGTGTGCTAGTTTAGTAAGTATTTCTAAAACTTCATTTAAATGTAGAAGGTAAAATGTTTTATAAGTAGACGGAATCAGGAATTTGGAACAAGTGAGGATTGCTTTTCTTGTAAGAAAATGATCTCACCTTAAGACAAGGACATCAGACTGAGTGATTCCTGAAGCCTTAGCTGATTCCAAAATTCTGTGACTGTTAAATGATCACGTGTTAAAGTGCTGAACTAAGTAGAATGGTTGAACAGTTCTCACGTTTGCTCTGTCTTTAAACAAAAAACCTGTAGTTCATAATTTATCTTCCAAATGAACCTTGTTACTTGCATTTACTACAAACTGTGCAATTACTGTAATTAAAGTGGGTAATTAGGAAGAATTTGTCAGATCATGGACATGGCATATGATACACTAGAGATGAAGAAGCCTGATGCAAAGTGTGTGCAAGAAGAAGTGTGCAAAGAGGAGCTTCTAAACATTTCACCATATTTTTCTCGGTTCAGTGTACTTTAAAGAGAAGAGGTTGTCATATTTTCCTGATGGCCATTTATGGATAATTTTAGCTTATTATTGTAACAATCTGTTTTCTACGAATAGAGTTAAATTTAAAGTTTCTATTTTCCCCTTGAACCCACCATATGAAATCAGCACCTTGCAGGTGCTGGTCAGGTTTTGTGGAACGAGTCGGTGCTGGTGACATTAAAATAAAGAACATTGATTGGGCTTTCATGGATGATAGTTTGCATCTCTCTTGTCTAGTCTGGGGAAAGATGCTAGTCCTTCTGAAGTGACTACACAGTGTTTCATATATGCTGTGACTTTAGAATAGACGGAGAGGAGCATTTGGATAGCCATGTTGCTCTTGTTATTTTAAATTGACTGAAATACATCTTAATTTACAGAATAATTATTTTTTAGTGAAGGTGTTACTGTTACACAGATGGTAAACAGAGTGCCTCCCTTTTATTTTTTTAAGTAAGGAACTAGCTAGTCATAGATTTCTCAACTTCTGTTGTGTAACTTATAATAGAGAATAGTTTGGAAAGCGCACAGTGTACATCATCATAATCCTTTGATGTAGATTAATGATAGCGAAATCACATTCTCTAATTGCTTCTCTTTTCTATGCTTGTTATTACATTTTAAGAAAAAGGAAACTTGGCTAAACACCTCCTTAGTAACATGTATGTCTGTTTCTTGATATTTTTTAGTATATGCTGAAATAATTTAAATTCAGAGAATAAGTTTCTTTTAAATATCATTAAGAAATTTGCTATGCAGAGGAAGGACCAATGTTTTTCTTCATGAAATGAATATGATAATTTATCAAGCTTAGAAGCACTCACCCATGAAACAGTTGAAGCTGTAAATAATATGATTTATGTTCTAACAGCTGAATTGTTTTGCTTTTTAGTTTTATCTTAGATATGCTGCATAAAATCCAGAATTTACAGTTATTGTTTGCAGTTTTCCTTGCTTAGTTGAGCCAAGAGAGGTGATTAAAACCCCTGAGCAAAGATGTCAGTATACCTTAGTTAGTGAAATGATTACATGCATATAATGCATAGTTGTGAACTCTCTTTTCGCTCTTTTATAAGTTAGGAATCATGCTGCTAAAGTTGAAATTTACTTTTTTTAGATTTGGGGTTTTTAGTCAATTGAATATGTTAGTGTTGCTCACATACTTTGATTTCCCTTTAGTTGTACAGTTCTACCTCTTATTAGTATAAACATCGAGAAATCAAGATTTGACTCCTTTTAAGTTGAAAATGTCATTATCTGCATTTAAAATAATAAATTAAAACCAAATACAACTTTTCACAGACTACTTGAGGATTAACCTTTAAGTCTGTAATCCTGAGGCCTTGTTAAGAAGTAATCCTTGGGAACATTTCATTTTGACCTTTCTTTAGTCTCAAGATTGTATTAGAAGTGGCTGGATTTCAAAATCTACTTCTCACTGAAAAGACCTTGTTGAATTTAGATGTATAGTTTCTCTGTGAATAGAACCCTCATTCTCATTGTTTTGATCCCTAAGATTCTGTCTCAGTATCACTGTGTGGACTACGTAGACTCAGCAAACCATTGCAATAGCTATGGGGAATCTACCCTCATTCTGTTACATAGTTTTGCTTGTATCGGCCTTATCTGTTTTCTGTCTTCCTGGTACTAACTGCTCCCGTGACACCTGGAATAAGTTGTGGCCTCTTCATAGTACAGTCTGAGTGCTGTTAATGTTAGGCAGGGTTGTGCGTCATGACGTGACATACGTGACATTCCTATAGGTTAAAACTACTTACTTAGTAAAATTAAAAAAAAAACAAACTATTTTCCATTTCTTCTATACCTAGTGTGATTTTTCCCTGGTAGATGTGTTTATAAAGAAGCAATTCTAGGCACTTAAGAATTGGTAGTGTAGGAGTAGAGAAATAAAAGTTGACTGTACTTAGGAAAACTAAAAGTCAAATTCATCGGTAGCTCAAGATGGAGAAATTAATCCTCATAGCATGTTTCTTTTCCTTTTTTTAAAATCAGATCCCAAAGACAACACATCTAGGGCAGATTTATTTGGTAATGCAGAAAGGAAGAAGAATTCAATTAAAATGTGGTTCAGTCCTCGAAGGAAGAAGGTTAGGTACGTGGTGAGTAAAGAGTCAATGACAACTCAGCCTGGAAAGGCAGAGGGTGGCAGAACCCAAGGAGCCTCCATATATGATTTTTTCTCTACAAGTCCCCCTGAAGTTGTTTCTAAGAGGGCCAAAGCAGCTTCTAGAACATTTGCAAAAAAGCAGCAGAAGAAATCTTCAGCTGAGATTAACCAGGAGGGGAATTTAAGGCCAGAAACAGACGATAGTCAGTTTGATTCCAAAGAGGAACTGAAGGAGAAGGTTGTCTCCTGTAGCCGAACACCAGTTGTGGAAAGTCCACAGGTACATCGTGAAATAGACTTATTAGCCAGTGGTTCTGCTGCAGAGTCTGAATGTTCGGGAGGATTGACTCAAGTCTCCTTACCATTGGCTGAGCATATCGTGTCTCCAGACACTGTAAGCAATGAAGAGACGCCTGAGAAGAAGGTCTGTGTAAAAGATCTTCGTTCAAGAGAGCATTATGAAAATCACAAAGGCTGCAGCAGGCCTCCCAGTACTGTTTCTAAGAATTGTGGGAGCAACGTTCTGAGTCCCAGTGGAGATGTCATTAAACCAGCAGTGCTTGCAGAAAATATGCTGTTGGTTGACTGTTCTTCGGCGCCTTCAGACCAATTTCAAGTTGATGTCACACTCAGGAGACACAGTAACGTATCAGATGACTCCCTCAGCCTTTCACCGGGTGTACCCCCACCTCTGCTGAATAATTCAACTCACAGACAAATGATGCCAAGCCCCTCCACAGTGAAGCTGTCACCCAGTATTATGGCCGGGAAGAGAAATCACAGAGGAGAGACTTTGCTTCATATTGCTTCTATTAAGGTAGGCTACCTACTCTGAACTAAATCTTGGAATGAGACCGTATCAGTTTGCTGTTACTATAACAAATACTTGAGATAGTAAGAGAAAACGTTTAATTTATCTCATAGAGTTGGAAGTTTTGTTCATGCCCAGTAGGTTCTTTTGCTTTGAATTTGTCATGGTAGATGTGTGTTGTAGAACAAAACTGTTCACCTCATCATTGAAAAACAAGAGAGAGAGTGAGGAAGGAGTGGAGATCCTGTTCCTTCTTTATGCCCAGTGACTTGAAGACCTTAATGTCGAAGATGGAGATGAGGTTGGGGTAAGGGAACCCTTCCATTAGCTACACTATGGTATAGGGATCCTATACTCTTAGGACAACTCGGATTTTTGTTAACATCTGGTTATGTTTCAGGTGATATCTGCTAAGCCTGATTTAGAAAATTAGTCTTTTGGTCATCTTGCCTTATTAATAAAAAAATCTCCACAATACGATATTGTAGTATTTTTTAATGCATCCTAGACATAGCTAGTTAATAATTATTATGTTTCATCTAACTTTACAAATTGTATAGTATATGTCAGCTATCACTGTAGAGCAGAAATAGCTGCAGGCAAATAAACCAATAAAACTTGACATGCATATTCAGGTAGCTCATCCACAAACTAGATTATATATTCTGTTGTTGGCATGGAAAAAAGCCACAGTAGAATAGGAAAAAATAGTGGTATCATGGTGATTTTTCTTCATTGATGTGTTCATGATTGCATTGTGTATGTTTTCTCAATAGACCATTTACTTGAAAAATCTTGCTCAAATTAAAGTTACCTGTATTGTGTTCTTGAACCCAATTATCAGATATTATTGCTATTAGTTTACTGATTCTGATTTATTACACTTAAATATGCATTAATTTGTATTGTTTTTAAACCATTAATCATGTTCTTTTAAAATTTTATTATGAGCTGAATGTGTATTCCCACCTGTTTGATTTTTGTTAGTTTTTTACAATTCTGGCAAACAAACACAGGGACTTATTCAAGTACTTTTACCAAGTAGCTGTGCTTTCAAATTCTATGTTTGACTTGATAGACATTGTCTAGGAAGAAAAAAATACTAGTGGGTTTATCAACATAGTTTTCTTATTAGAAATTATTTTTATTTAGTTTTCATCTTAATTTTTTCATTTGTAGTAAGAATGAACTGTCTAGCTATATGAAGAAGCCAAATACTATAATTCTGCTGTCTTATTTCAGTTGCATGCCCATCTTCTTCAGAAAAATATTTGAATGAGCCTTAATGTTAAAGCTACCATAAAATGAAACAAGGAACTGGGAAACGAGTCCATTATACACAGTGAATTCAGAGTTGGTGACCTTTAAAGCAGCCAAAGCAAAGAAGGAGAAGTAGCGGGTTTATGCAAGTCAAATAGTAAGACTTCTCTGAGTTGCTGCTGTGGTTGTTGCTTTTCCCTACAGCACACAGGTAGATTTGGAGCTTCCACAGTTCCTGGTGCTTGTGATAGTTAATCTTGATTGTCAGTCTTTTTGGAGCTGGGTCCAGTAGTTCATATCTGTAACTCTAGCGTTCAGGAGGGTAAGGCCAACTTGGATTATGTAGCTAGTTCAAGGCTAGCCAGGCCACAAAACAATCCCCCAAATTATCCCACTCCTGATACCAACTTCTTTCTTAGTTACTATTCTGTTGCTGTGAAGAGACACCTTGATTAAGGCAACTGTTAAACTGAAACCCAGCAAAGCAAACTCCATGTTCTGCATCTCCATGTCCAATGCTCTTCAGAACTCCAGCTCCTTTCAACTTTGTTGACTGCAACACTCTTCTCTCTCTCCAGCTGCCACCACACCCAGTCTGCAGCTCTCCTTGACAGATATCCCTACATATCCAAAGGCTTCACCTTTACAACTCCATACAGTGGCCTCTCTGGCACAGCGCCTGCATGGCCAGGATGCGGAGACTGGTGGGGGTGCCAGTGTTGAGACGTGGAGGCTTCTTTTCAAGTGGAAGTACAGCAATCTTTGTTTTGTCCCGAGCTAAAGCCTTTTATACCTCTACTGCTTCTGTGAAAAACCACTGGACAGAAAGAACACAAACATCCTTGTCAATTACAGACCACAAGGAAGTCTCACGGTCATGGGGAGTGAGGGCAGCTAGATCACAACTCCCTCCGTTTTATTTTATAAAATAAACGGTGCCTGTCTTGTTACTTTGGGTGGAATACCTTGCCTGTCGTGGGGAATAGCCCTCTAATATTCCCTGTCTTGGGTGGCATCCTGCCCCCAAAGTATTGCCCGTCCATGGTTACCCAGACACATAGCCCTAAACCAAGTATCCCCAGACCTTACAGCACTAATGAGCCAGACCAGCACTGCAACCATTTAGCATGCACTAACTGGGTGGTAAAATTAACAAAAGCAGTATTCCAAACCTCTCTCATATGGTTGAATTCTATAACAGTAGCAGAAGCATGCAATACAGTGCCACGAGTAATGCACATAACATGATTAACTGTTGAAAAGTCCAAAGATAGTCCACTTGCTCCTGAACCAGAGCCACTTGTTGGCTCAAGGTCAATATGTATCCAATTGAATATGTCCATTAAGATCATTTTGAATGTCCAAAGCATTGCTAACTCCTTCAGCCAGCTGGTTGACAGTCTCAGCCCTCTGCACAGTCTGGGGAAGAGCCATTCCGGCAGCAGTATCTGTGGTGGCAGAGATAGCAATAACGACAATTACAGCTGCGGTGATTCCAGGGTCTCTCTTCTGCTGATCTTCTATGGTTCAGCACTTGTTGCCATATTTGCTGACACCGCCATGGTGTCCTCCAGGCTGGACACCAACTGGACCAGGGCAATATGCCTAGCAAAGCTCTGCTCCAGCTGCCTTCTGGCCCCAGACCCACTCTCTCTGGGTCCAAACTGCTACTTGGAGCAGAGCAGAACTCAAGGAAGCAGGCTTGCTGCTCCTGCTCTGGAACCATTGAAGGGGCCCCACCTAAACAATTGGGAATTTGGGCATCGTAAACCTATCTGGCTACTTCCTACTGAGCGAGCGGGGGTGGGGAGGGTGGGGTGCTGCATTCTTGGGGGTATTTTACATCAACATTTCAGGGGGTCTCTGAATCAAACCACATAAATTTGCAGTGAATCCAGAGGTTCCCAATCCTCTGTGGAGATAAAAGCAGAACCTCTTTTCCAAAGCATCAAATCCTTAAGCCCATATTTTAAAGTCAAAATACCTTTCTTAGCAGTTCTCAGAATCAAATGTCTTTCTCCAGTCCAGAACACAAAAGACAACAATCAACATACTAACATACATCTGTACTTATTCTATCTTTTTGAGGCCCTCAGTTCACCCTCCTGCCTCCTCTTTATCACTTCCCTACTGGCTAGTCTTCCAGAAGGCATCCCTCAGAGCGTCTCTGGGGATGAAGAAACACATACTCCTTCTAATCTGACTTGGCTTGTTCCTAGTCTGGAACATTTAAGCCCCTTCCCGTAATAAACCAGGGGCTAACTTGAGCTATTGTTTGTACAAAATCTTCTGCTGTCTTCCTTGTTATTTCTGTGTCTTGTTGCTTTAAGAGTTTCAGTTACTTTTTGAGGCCTTTAATTCATCCTCCTGCCTCTTCTTTATATTAGCTAGTCTTTTGGAGGGTGTCCCTCTGAGTATCTCTGGGGATGAAAAAATAAAACACATTACTTTCCCCAATACGCTCTTTGATTTAGCGGGCAGATGGAGCGACCCTGTTCATGAATCCCCACTTTCCACTTGCCGCAGTACCAACACTGGCGGGGGTGGGGGTGGGGATTGTTACCAGGGTTGAGACATGGAGGCTTCTTTTCAGGTGGAAGAACAGCAACCTTTATTTTTTCCTGAGCTAAAGCCTTTTATACCTCTACTGCTTCTGTGGAAAACCACTGGCCAGAAAGAACACAAACATCCTGTCAATTACAGACCACAAGGAAGTTGCTGTAGGTCAGGGGGAGTGAGGGCAGCTGGATCACAACACTCTGGGACTGCATGCAGGGCCTACCACATACCTAGCCTCAAAGGCTTTCTTTAATGGAGGAGGACGATTCCACAACTCCTTTCCTTTATTCTTGACCCTAAAACTATGTGGCCAAAGCCTTCAAGTTCTGCTGCCTGCTCAGGCTAAAATGTAACTCTCTTGATGATTTACATTTGCATAAGCTTTGACTTGTGGAGGTTTTCTAGGCTAAGGAAATCCTCCAGGTTTATTCCTTTTACAGGTTGCAGGATTTAGCTGGGTGGTGTCTTGCCTTGGTGTTGTCAGTCCCTTTATTTCATTTAGCATCAAGCTTTTTTTTTTTTTTTTAAATCTCATTAAACACCAGTCTTGGCTCTAGCATTGCATATCCTGGTGCCATTTTGTCCTTAAACTGTACATTTTATATTTCTCTTTGCTTCATGTGTTCATTTTCATTGTAGGTCTATATAATCGTGATCACTAATACCACAAATGAAGTCTGTCTTGAAATCTCCTCTGTCAATGCCATAAATCCAAAACTCTTCAGTTCAGCTGCTGACAAATTTTTAGGACGGGGGCAGAAAGCAGTCACATTCTTTGCCAAAACTGCAGAAGAATGTGGCAGCCAGTAACCTTCTTCGCCTCTGAAACTGTATAAGCTGGGCCCCACATTTCACCTCACCCTCAGCACCACCATCCATTCTCCTACTAAGATGGTCCATTAAGCACTGCTGAAAGCATTCAATTGCTTTTCTATTCCGACGTCTCAGGGCTCCCATATTTCTCCAAACAACAACATGGTCAGGCCTGTCACAGTAATACCCCAGTCCATGGTAACAACTTCTGTTTTAAAAACACCAATGATATTAGTAAACACAGTTCTGTGTGTCTCTGAGGCAGATAGTAAGGGCTCTGACAAAAGTGTGGCCAGTCCATTGAATAAGTCCATCTTTAAACTGACAGTTGAGCTGCTGCAGAGGAAGTGGTCACTGAGAGTGTATCCTTACAG